TCCTGAGGCCGAGTCCCACATACAGCAACTAGAAGCGTGTGCAGCTGTGACATACAACTATCTACTGGGGCTTTGGGGGCAAAAAATAAATAAAATCTTTAAAAAAAAAAAAAAAAAAAAGATGGAGAGGGGAGAGAGGAAAACATCATGGGCTACGTGTAGCCACACGTTACAGGAAAGCCAAGACATTTTATTAGTGTACTTGTTGTTATTTTAAATGTCCACTACTCTTTGTACTTTACGATATTTCAACAGGAAATGAATTGCTATTTGAAGAAAAGAAAAGCCAGTGTTTCTCTCGGACAAGACAGACCCCTGAACAAAAACCACGTACTATAACTCCTTCCAGTTCTATATAAATGTCCATTGTTAATGTACATTCACCTTTTAGACCACCACTTATAAGTGACATTCTAATTATAAGACCCTTTAAGTCACTTTTCTCCTCCCTTTTCTTCTCCTGCACAACTTTCTGCTGACTGCCATCCAAATATTATTTAACAGGTCAAAAGAGCAATTTCCAATTACCAATCAGTTCCAAACTGCTGCATAGTTCAATCTTTCTGACTGCATGTTTCTACGAATAGCAGCTAAATGGTAATCTACAAATTAACTCACTCTAATCCCTTCTAAACATGTATTGGTCCTTAGCTAGGTTCAGGTGATGTCTATATACTTCAAATGATTTGTAATCAAAACAGCTGTATTCACTGAAGTATGGTGAAGAAAAATAGTTATTTTAAAAATAATTATTTACAAATAATCATCTCACTGTCATTTTTCCTATAGTTAAGACACATGATTTCAAATTTTCCTTCCCCTCTAGCAAGCAAAAAGACAGATTAGTTATGGTGACTTTTTCAGGAGATACTTGGCTTATTGTCTTAGTTAAATTCAATTCCACCTTAGCAAACCTTGTGAGTTTATTAACTAGGCCAAATCCCCTGGTCAACAGCATAGGCTCTGGAGCAGAGGACCTAGGTTTGAAAAATGAAGCTGCCATTTGCAATGTGACTTTGGGCAAGTTACTTAATCTGTGCCTCACTTTTCTCTGTTTTTAAAATGAAGATAATAACAGTATCTGCCTCAGAAGTGGATGACAGAATTAAATGAGATAATGAACAAATGAGTAAAACACTTAAAACAGTGCCAGACACATAATAAATACTCAGTAAATGTTAACTTTTGCTTTTATACATAAATCTTCTCAGACAGTCACAGCAGACAGAATAGTCCATGTAATCTAATAGAACTCCAGAACAATACAGGAGGAAAACATTAAAAAGGGATGACTGTTTTAGTGTCCTTCCTTCTTAAAATAGGTAATTGTCTGCACCACCTAAGAAAGTGCTGATAAGCCATGGAAAAGATGTCAAAGATATTTTCAAAATTATTGTGATTCTGTAAAACAAGAAAAAAGGAAGCTCAAGAAGACTTGTCCCTCAAAATAGACTGAAAGAATCTTAACAGAGAAATTTGACATAGCTATCCAGAAACAAGAGAATAGTGCATCCTGCTTTGACATCGATACTTCTATGGGCAAGATAGAATCCTCACAGCCCAAAGACAGTTGTTTACTCACACATGCTTGTAAGCATCACCTACACTATAAGATTCGCAGTAAGAGCTGAAGGTGTATAACTCTATTCTCACACATAGTCTAGAGCATACTCTGACAGAAATGAAGCTTGAAGCCAAAAAGAAAACTTTCATGGAAAAATTTAAAAATCATTGCCACCAGGGCTAACCTTACCTAAGTGGGTTTAACTTGTGGAATATATCAGAAAAAGCTTCCTCTGTGGAGGATTGGTACATAGAAATGGTGACTGTGGGCTGGCCCCATGGCGTAGTGGTTAAGTGCGCACGCTCCACTGCTGGCGGCCCGGGTTCGGATCCCAGGTGCGCACTGACGCACTGCTTGTCAGGCCATGCTGTGGTGCCGTCCCATATAAAGTGGAGGAAGATGGGCACAGATGTTAGCCCAGGGCCGGTCTTCCTCAGCAAAAAAAAAAAAAGAGGATGATTGGCACAGATGTTAGCTCAGGGCTGATCTTCCTCACCAAAAAAAAGAAAAAAAGAAATGCATAACACATATGAGAATTAGAGCTAACACTTACTGAACACCCACTATGTTCCAGGCATTATTCCAAATTTTTTATACGGATTAACTAGTTAATCCTCAACATCACTATGAGATAGGCATTTATTGTCCCCACCTTATACCCAAGGAAGTGAGGCACAGAGATATTAACTTGCCCAAATGTCAAGTTAATAGTGGTTAGCCAAAAACAGTCTGGCTTCTAAATCCAAGTTTTTAACCACTAGGCAAAGAAGAAGGTTGCATAAATATACAGCAAACAATTATATACTTTGGGAGGGGGCTAGGATTCAGGTAGAGGGTTTTGGTTATCTGTAATGTCCGAATTATTGACAATAAGAATGTATGGACTTGTGTAATTAAAAAATTTTATATCTCATAAATTTAGTCAAATCTTTTATTGGGCTTTCTGTGGAATTCTATTTGATTACCACCTGACACACAATCTGCAGTGCCTAAATGACTGGGATCCCCATGATGAGCCAAACACCACAACAGCTGGCGGTATTTGGAGAGCGAGAAGGGGTGGTTAATATTTTTGATAGGTCATGGCAGACAGTCTCTATCCAACCACCAGTAAGCGTCAAGACCTACTCTAGACTTGTTTAAGTATGCTTGCTGGTCTCCAGGTCCCATCTTCATCTTCAGATACGGCTGCGTCCCTTCTTAGCTTAAGTCAATTCACAGTACTGAAAAATGCACAAGGGTAAGAAGGAAGAGGACGGTGCAAGTTCAGAATGGGGATAAGACAATGAGAGTGACTCATCACTCAACCTACTAGTATTCCAACCTTGGCCACCTATTACAGATCGGCCATACATAACACTCTTAAGAACAGTTTTCATTAATAACTTTTTATTGTAGTTTAATTTCTTACCCATTAAACAAGTTTTTCCCATCTTCTTCCATATTATTCCACAGTCATTGGTTAGGTTTCCTCTTCTCTATTACCTATGGGGAAAACAATCTGTAAGGCTGGACTAATACACAGCAAGATAAAAGCAATTTCATGAATTTTATTTATAAATTCAAAGGATCAGCATATTACAATGCAGTTTAGTGAACTCCCTACAAGTCCTCAAAATTGACGTAAAATAGTGAAAAAGCTGAGGTCTTTTTTTCAACTAAGAGCAACCAAAGATTCAGTCACTTATCAATAGGCTGATCCACAAATGGAAGTATGAAAGTTTGCTTCCTAAAAAATGTACTTCTGCATTTGTTTTAGGTTTTATTTTATTTTATTTTTTAAAAAGTCATTGTCTTTTTTTTTTTAATAATTTTATTTATCTATTTTTTCCCCCAAAGCCCCAGTAGATAGTTGTATGTCATAGCTGCACATCCTTCTAGTTTCTGTATGTGGGACATGGCCTCAGCATGGCCGGAGAAGCAGTGCATCGGTGCGCGCCCGGGATCCGAACCCGGGCCACCAGCAGCGGAGCGCGCGCACTTAACCGCTAAGCCATGGGGCCGGCCCTGTTTTAGGTTTTAAAGATTATACATTGTCTTTGCAAATAACTCAAAACTGCCAGAAAAACAAAAACAAATTCCTGGTAACAACATACTTGAATATCAAAAGCTAAAATTATTTCTGGATAAGCAGTATATATAATAATGAAAGATGCCATGAGGTGACTTTGTGTTAAATGAATTCATGACTTTCAGGTAAGCAGCATGCTTCTTTATTTTTTATTTATTTATTTTTTGTGAGGAAGATCAGCCCTGAGCTAACATCTGTTGCCAATCCTCCTCTTTTTGCTGAGGAAGACTGGCCCTGGGCTAACATCCACGCCCATCTTCCTCTACTTTATATGAGACGCCGCCACAGCATAGCTTGACAATCTGAACCCTCGAACCCCGGGCCGCCGAAGCGGAGCGCTCACACTTGAACCGCTAAGCCACCAAGCCGGCCCCAGCATGCTTCTTTAAAAGCAGCATACATTTTATACACAGGGACATTATATTATTCAAAGATATCTAGAGTGTAGGATTTGGACACACTGCATGTGTAATCATTTTTTAGGTTTCTGACACTTTATTCAGGAACTAAGACTCAATAAAGCTTGAGATTAGTACGGTGTCAGCTGCCATGCAACAGGATGAAAAATTCTCTATTTTGTCACCCTAATAACTAACACAAGAATTCCTCTTGGAAGGCATTTTCTTTGCGAAAATATGTTCTCTTAATATGGGTCCCCCACCTCTCATGTCCAGTCCCCTTGAGTGGATGGATCCCTGCGGAATGGCTGTCAAGATCCCAGAATATTTGTCAAGAAAGGGAAATTGCTCCGCATTACACAAGAGGAAGAATTCGTTATTTTATCTCTGAAAGGAACAGAGAGAAGAATGATGAGGAGAGGGAAAGGACGAGAAGAAGAGTTAGTATAGTGGAGCAAAGCTGGGATTAGGTGGGGCTGAAGGTCCCGGGTCAAAGGAGGTCTGAAAACATTTTAAGAACGGGGCTGCCTTACTGAGGAAGTTGTTTGTATTAGCAATGTAGGGCTCACCACATTTTGGCTCCTTTCTTCAGTTAGGTGTACTAAACCCACAAATGCCCTGTGTGAATAGGCCTTTCTGAAAATCAGAGAAGCCGTTTCACAGCTGGGTGCACTATCGTGCACATCCGAGGCGCAAGACAAGAAAACAGGGGCCCAGGAGGTAGAAGCGGTGGTAAGATGACAAAACACAGGAAATGCACAAATACTTTCAGGAAGGGCTTACAACTTCCACACGTTCTAGGTTGGGGGTCTGAGGGAACCTTAGTCAGGAAGCTAAGCTGACACTGTATGAATGGGGACTTTATATTCATAAAATTTCCCTCTTTCCTATCCAAATAACCCTACTTTCAATATAACACCACCAAAGGATTAAAAGTTAACTTAATTATATTTAAATCCAAGTTATTTGAATTAATTCTGGATGCTCCCCAAAAGCTGACCCCAATAATCAGTTCTATACTAAATAGCACCTAGGACATAGAACTACATGGAGTTTAGGATTAAAGGCCCTATGAAACAGCTATTAATGTGAAGAGTAATGACTTCACTAATTATCATGGCGATCTTGAAAATGGAGAAATTATAATAAGTCAGCCTAATTCTGAAAACTATTAATAAAACTTGACACATTCCAATATTTTCCATCTAGGTCCCACTTATATATCATTTAATAACTACTGCAATATACTTTTGAATGGGGGGATTGGAATTACAGATATACCAAACAAATCACTATAGTAGGAACAAACTAAAAATGTGGATGACATCTCTTTAAACGGCCATTAGAAATAAAGTCCCCAACAAGCATCTACTGGTGAAACCTGCTGAACTCTCAGGCTTTGTGGTGTCACACAAGGCAAGAGTACAGGATGTAGAGTAAGAGACCAGTTATCACAATGGTGTCCACTTACTAGTACAAGACCCTATGCTAGTTACTTAACTTCTCCGAGCCTACTTTCTCATCTACTGCATAGCACTGGTGTAAGGATTAAATGAGAATGCAGGTAAAATGCTACTCCAATGCCTGGCACGTAGCTGATGATCAACAAAGGTTAAGTTTCCTTCCTTTATCTTTCTACCTTTAGTTTAGAGCAATTTTCAAGGCTTGAGAAGGAGAAAATCCATTCTTGAAATCTTACTTAATTTAGTCTTATCCTGCCAAATAATACTAATAATAACAATAACGATGATAACAATGTTGATGATGATAGCCATTAACACTTAGATAGCCTTTAATGTGTGCCAGACACTCATGTGAGCACTGTTACACATATTAACTCATTCACTCCTCACAACTATGAGATAGGTATTATTTTTATTTCCATTTCACAAACATGGAAACCGAGGCACAAATAAGTTCCACAGTTAATAAGTGGCAGAGATAGGATTCAAACCCAAGTTTCTGCTCTTAAGAAACACAAGCACCAAGGACTAACATCAAAGTGACAGCAGCAATGCCCTTTTCCTTAAGAGCTCTCTAATATTGATGTAGTCAGGTAAGGAATGTTCAGATGGCCTACCAAACAGAACAGATCCATATTTTAGGTAATTAAGGATATATATATACGTATATGTATATATATAGTTTATGTATTTAAAAATATGGTTTATGTATCTCAAAATATTTTTTTACTGTTTTTTTTTGCTGAGCAAGATTGGCCCTGAGCTAACATCTGTTGCCAATCTTCCTCTTTTTTTGCTTGAGGAAGATTAGCCCTGAGCTAACAATCTTCCTCTATTTCGCATGTGGGTCACCACCACAGCATGCTGATTAGCAGCGTAGGTCCATGCCCAGGATCTGAACCGACAAACCTGGGTTGCCGAAGTGCAGCCCGCCGCACCTAACCACTACACCATGGAGTCGGCCCCTCAAAATATTTTAAATATATATATTTTATAACATATTTTTAAAAGTTTAGAAAGTTGACCAAAAGAATATTAATAAATTTAAATCAGAAAAAAATTTAACCAAGATTTTATACCTTTTTCAGCTAAGTCACTCATGTGGCATTCTAAGATACAAACATTTATTATTCTGTGTTATATCTTGTCTGTAACTGCCTTCCCCTGTAAAATCCTGAAGGACAGCAATAGCATCTTGTCTCATTGTGAACATCAGTAATGTCTAAAAAAGTGTCTAGGAGCGTTTCTCCTGGAACTATTTTGGGATTCTTTTCCTGGCTCGGCACTGCCAACTCCTTGGTGCATATTTTCACTTTGTAGTAGGGAGATGGTTTCTGGGTTTGGAAGATGTCTTTTGGTGAATAACTTTGGTACAAGTGACCAGGTCCTTATTTCTTCTTCCTTCTGGTTTCACTTCCGAAAAGGAAGCCCCAGGGCGGACCTGGTGGCATAGTGGTTAAGTCTGTGCACTCTGCTTTGGTGGCCCAGAGTTCGCAGGTTCAGATCCCGGGCACAGACCTACTCACCACTTATCAAGCCATGCTGTGGCAGCATCCCATATAAAGTAGAGGAAGATGGGCACAGATGTTAGGCCAGGGTCAACATTCCTCAGAAAAAAGAGGAGGATTGGCAACAGATGTTAGCTCAGGGCTAATCTTCCTCACCAAAAAAAAAAAAAAAAAAAAAAAGGAAGCCTTGGTTTGGGAGGGGCGGCGTTCCATGACTTCTGAAAAGGGAGCTTTGGTTTGGCCTTCATTGTGAGGGTCTTGGTTTTGGGAAGGCCCAATATTAACGAAGAATTAGGGGATCCACTCACAGAAGTTCTCGAGATCTGGTTCTAGCTGCAGCATAAGTATACTTTGACCGGCAGTGTCTAAATTCTGAAACAATGGGGGGCCGGCCCGGTGGCGCAAGCGGTTAAGTGCACGCGCTCCGCTGCGGCGGCCCGGGGTTCGCTGGTTCGGATCCCGGGCGCGCACCGACGCACTGCTTGGCAAGCCATGCTGTGGCGGCGTCCCATATAAAGTGGAGGAAGATGGGCACAGATGTTAGCCCAGGGCCGTCTTCCTCAGCAAAAAAAGAGGAGGATAGGCGGATGTTAGCACAGGGCTGATCTCCTCACAAAAAAAAAAAAAATTCTGAAACAATGGGAAACGCTAATTCGATTCCCGCATGCAGCCCTCTAGGCTGGATTCTTCAAAATCAGGCAACTTTCAGTTATGAGTCCATGAAAAAGGAAAAAACGGTATTTTTTTGTAACACCACATAGCCACAATCAGAGAGCTCTTGCAATGACTGGTCTTAAGAACTTAATCAAATCTGGAGTCTCAGGTTCCTCTCCTGGTCTTACAGATGCTAATGAAAGCTCCACACCCCACCCCACCCCCAGGAGCTCTCCTCTGGGTTCTGGTTTCCGAGAGTCCCTGCTCCACCTCGGGGAGCTCTCCTTTGGTTTTTGGGCACCTGGAGTGATTCCACGTTGGCCCCTGGACCAGTCATTTGACCGACAATCTGGAACCCTGTTTTGTCTCCTGTCAAGAACCTGTTGAGTATTTTAGGCGCCTACTGA